TAGGTAAAATTAACGAAAAATCCAGCTTTTACCTATTTGGGATTAATATGTGGCTATATAATTAATCTGGAAATTTGTAGTCTCTTCTAGATTGCCCTCTGGAAGATCTTATTGTGTCAATGGGTAATACTGAACACTCTCAACATATTTCTGCATAGGCGGTCGGTCAGACTTCGTATAAAATCAACAAATCTATTTTTCTCTTTTCACATCAGTGTATAATTGCCCAATCGCATAATTACGTCATTTCAAAACTTCTATTGTTTTAACGGTAAGGATTTATGGTTGCCAGAGGGGATCATAGTGACTGCATAATATCATATATAAGATGTAGATAAGCAAGCATTGATAAGTGATGTGCATCAAAACTCAATACACTAAAGTTCAACTTTCGGAAAGAATATTGATAGGTCCAATAGTCGTTAGCATATATTATCCCCAATGTAAACATACTGTGACGCCATTATGTCATAGTATATTGGTCCAAAGCGCCGAGCTCAGCCTTGAAAGAAGTATGGAAATGAGTATTACGTCAACCTCGACAATACCTTCTCTGGTATTTGGTGTGTAAACCGTAAACAAAAAACAATCGATAGAAATCGATAAAAACTCTACTACCGACAGTGTTTACATGAGGGTTTCGCAGTATATGATACTGGGTTGACGTCACAAGTCACGTGATATTGTAGGATTGATTGCCCGCCACAAGGAACTTGAACTACCTTTTTTGCATATGTTTAGAAATTTGTAAAAAAAAAACTAATCGGGATTTCAATAAAATCGTGTCATTTTTTCGTCAAATTTCTAAAAGAAACCTCCCTAATTTTAGAAGAAAAAAAAAACATTTTTCAGGGGTTAACTAGGTGCACTTTAAAGATAAAAGTGTTATTATACCTTTTCGGACAAGACTGCGCGATAATGGGACCAAGGTTTCTCTTCAGAGCATCGAAGTCTTCAGCAAGAATCACATTGCTCTTGTTGCCTTTAGCAATGACTTCGAGTTCACCTGATGAGATGAATTTTCCAATACCAACTGCCACAATACGTACATTCTGTTGAAACATTCAATGTTTATTAGTGTATGAGAAAAAGGTGAATTCTCAAAAACTAGAAAACAAAAAGCAGCAATCACTGAAAATAGAGTAATTGGATAAAATTGTGTTTTTGATGTGTTTTTATTAGGAGTGTAGTTTTCATAGAGCTATGGTAATAGATAAACTGATAAAACTAAAAGCAACTACAGTACTACTTTAGTGGACTGTCATAATCACTGTATGCGGTATGTTTTCCTATTTTTTAAGCTATCTAGATTAGGTTCACATGATACTTTTGTACAGATCAGATGTTCAAGCCCTTTTTTCCCGTGTGATCTGTTTTCTAGATTGAATAACATACTAACGTTTCAAGTTTTCGACCGAAAGGAATTTTGGGTTCCTCAATATATTTCAGCTTTTCATGACGTCTTGAAGTATTTCTGCCAGAGCTAAGAACCCTTTTGTGATGTACTCTCTTATTTATGTATATATCATTACATCGGGAGCATCTTGGGATTTTTCATTTGATTCAAACTCTAAGGAAATTTCAAATCTCTTGACAACTTCTTTTGAAATATACATATTTACAAACCTTGAATGCTCTTGTCATGGCATTCCTTAGTTTTCTGATTCCACTGGTATTTTTTCCATCAGTAAACACAATCATCACATCTTGGACAGCAGGTCTGTTGCCTTTGATCTTCTCTCCAAAGAAAGCTTTTTCCGCTTTTCTCAGGGCTAAAGTAGTGCGGGTTTTACCACGCGGATATCTGTTGAAATTAAAACTACTGAGATTATAACAATAATTGCGAATGCACAAAGGCGAGTTCAATATTGTCACCACTTAGCACATAAAAGCTTGTTTTTAGCTACAATGAATGGTAGATTGATCTCACTAAGTTAGTGAGGAAAGAGAAAAACAGCAACAACAACAACAACAACAACAACAACAACAAAGCACAACAAAAATCGTATTCTCGAACTAAGGCCAACCAGGTAAAACCTTGCCCTACGACATTTCATTTAATCTTGCGATTTTTAACTACCTATAATAAATGAGAGGATTAAAACTCCCATCGTGCTTTGCCGAACAAAATGGCGTCGCTGTACAATGCTTAACATCCTTTGAAGATATAGAGCGGATTTCGTGCAAAAGCACGGATAACAACACGGACACTGACACGGCACGGTCATGGAACCTCGCCTTCTAGGATTTCAAATGAAAGTAAAGATTTTCTAATGCATCACGGCTACGGCACGGTACGGACACAGCACGAACGTACCTTGTCATGCACAGTCATACGAAATCCGCTCTAGTATACAATGTTTTAAGTTCGGTGAACAAGCATTTGATCCATGACTTAACAAGATACCATGTTAATGGCAGATTTATATATTACGAGTTAAGATTATTCATTTTTTTTCCCTCTATTCACCAGGAAATAGGGTGAGAATTAGAATACACTGGTAAAAAATAATAATAACAATAAAAAACATTCATGTAGGGAGAACACGAGAGAAGCGTTAAAAAATACGACTCAAAGCCGACCTACCGAATTCCATCGATCTTGCCTTTTACTCCCGTAAGGTCTTGTGTTGAATTGAATCTGTGATTAACTGACACTTCACTGGCAAAGGTTATGATTCCGAAATGCGTCCCGTCTGGAGAAACCTTCAGGTATTCAGCTAAATTTTTAAGAACTCCTTTTGCTTTAACAAAATTTGCTTTTTTGATGCTCGACGATCCATCAAGCAAGATTCCAACGTCAAGTTTCCTTTTGCAATCTGAATTAAAATTTCATTAGTAAGTATACACATCATATAAAGTTTCATCTTTAACTATATATCATACTTATATAAATTACGAATTATAAAATACACAGAAATGTGATCTATTTGATTGCATTAGCACGTGGTTTGAACTATAAATGACGACTTTATTAGGTTTGCTTGCTAGAATTTAGGTTAAATTTCAATGTATTTGATTTTCGCAAAAGTCAAAGGAAAAATTAAGCGATTCGTTAACTCAATTGATAATTTAGCAKTCTTTTTGGATGGTATTATTATTCACATATTTTGAAAAAATTAGCTTTTCACAATGTCCACTGCTACTGTTACAAAGTAGCGGTATTGGTCGCCAGTGGCTCACTTGAACATTTATGTTTATCATTGCATTTTAGCGAGACTTTAACTGTTTGTATTCCTAAGATTGCTATGTTTGCGTTGTAATGCTTTAAACATTTTTTATCCAGCGCTATTGGC